GGAGGGGTGGAAGAGTCAGAATGTGACCAATGTACAAAGAATCATCATAAGAAGAGCCAACATGGTAACACCAACGAAACACCTAATACTCACGTTCGCTTCCAGTAATCTGCCAGAAAGTATTCAAACAGGGTACACTAAGACGTCGATCAGACCATAAATACCTAACCCACTTCATTGTTTTAAATGCCAGAGGTACGGACACGGCTCACAAAGCTGTCGTGGTCACCAAACTTGTGCACAATGTGGAGTGTCAGGCCACAATTTTGACAATCGCGAAGAACCATCACACTGTGTGAACTGTGGCGGAAATCATGCCGCATACTCATGGTCTTGCTCATTTTGGAAAAAAGAAAAAGAAATCATCACATTGAAAATTAAAGAAAGTCTGACATTCAAGGAAGCAAGACGTAGAGTGTCGCCATTTTATGGCGCTACATATGTTGATGCGGCGCGTCCGGGGGCAACGCCGCACCAGCCCTCGCCACTCCTTCGGCCAGCGCAGAGCGAGCCGTCGGCTGTGGCACCTGCCCCCAAGGCGGCAGTAGTTCAGTCTACTCCGCCTCCTAGCGAATTGAGGCCGGAGACTCCAGGGTCCTCTGGTCTCAAGGCCTCCCCTCACCAGGCGAGGCCCAAAATCCGAACCACTAGCTCGCATGTGCGGGCACCCAGTGCCTCTGAGGAGGCAATGGACACAACGGTACCCTTGGTACCAAAACTGCGGCGCGGCTCCTTGGAGCGCGCCAAGAAAAATAAAAAACCAATAACGGGGCCGGACGACCGCCCTGCCACCTGAATTAACGAGCTAACTCCTACACAGGATACTCTTTGTACACACAGCAGCATCGCTCTTGTTTAAATATGCAGACAGAAATATTACAGTGGAACATCCGAGGCGTTCTCCGAAACCTCGATGACTTACAAGAACTCCTCCATGTTAACAATCCAAGAGTGCTGTGTGTACAAGAGACACACTTACAACGAACAAAAACAAACTTTTTACGTAACTACGTAATCTTCCGAAAGGATAGAGATGATGCCATGCCACCATCCGGTGGTGTAGCGGTTATAGTCAGTCAAGGTATAGCATGCACACAATTACCTCTTAAAACTTCCCTCGAGGCGGTGGCTGTCTGAGCAGTTATTCTAAACAAACTTGTCACTGTCTGCTCTTTGTACATACCTTCGCACCACCGTCTTGAAAAACTTCAATTCCAGTCTTTATTAGACGAACTACCTGAACGTTATCTGGTCCTTGGGGGACCTGAACGCACATAATAGTCTGAGGGGTGACTCCCGCTGTGATGCACGAGGTTGTCTCATTGAACAATTTCTCATTTCATCAGGTGCTTGTCTGTTGAATAGGAAAGAGGCAACATACTATAACCTTGACAACAAAACTTACTCTTCCATAGACCTCAGTATCGCATCTCCTTCACTTGTACCAATAGTTCAGTGGAAAGTCATAAATAACCAACACGGAAGTGACTATTTTCCTTTAGTTTTGAGTACACCAATAGTATATGAATGTCCTGCACACGTTCCCAAATGGCTGGTAAACAAAGCCGACTGGGAACAATTTCAAAAGCTTACTCACCTAAATTGGACTGACATATGCGGTTTAGGCATAGATGAAGCTGTGCAGTACTTCACGGCCTTTCTTACTGACACAGCAGCCAAGTACATTCCACAAACATCTTGACTGCCCGGCAAACGCCACGTCCCGCGGTGGAACACTGAGTGTCAGAATGCGCGAAAGAAACAGAACACGGCATGGAGGTTGCTGCAGAACTCGCCGACAGCGGAAAACCTTGAGAGCTTTAAGAAAATAAAATCTCGAAACAGGAGAACGCGTCGGCAGGCCAGAAGAGAAAGCTGGCAGAAGTTTTTGTCAGGGATCAATTCATACACACAGGAGGCTAAAGTCTGGAACATGGTTCGTAGGGTAGCAGGAAGAAAAGTACACTCACTCCCACTCGTAAACACTCAGGGTGATACCTTGGAAGATCAGGCAAACTTCCTCGGTGCACACTTTGAACGGGCATCCAGCTTGTCCCACTACACTGACACTTTCCCAAAATACAGCAACAAGAATAGAAAAGCAGAAACTCGAACACAAATTCACTAGATACGAGGCATATAACCAAGCCTTCAGTCTAGCTGAGCTCCGAACATCTCTAAACTCCTGCAGTACTTCTGCCCCAGGGTCTGACCGTGTGGTGTATGAAATGTTAAAAAACCTACCAGTAGAAACACGAAAAACCTCACTTTGTTTGTACAATGCTATCTGGTTTTCTGGCACTATCCATACCTCCTGGAAAGAGGCTATTATTATTCCCATTTTGAAAGAGGGCAAGGACCCTTCTTTAGCTACAAGCTATAGGCCTATTGCACTTACAAGCTGCTTGTGCGAAGTCTTCGAAAAAATGACAAACTGCCGACTTGTACAGATCCTTGAAACAAACAATTTGCTCGACCCATTTCAGTGCGGGTTTCGAGAAAGTAGATCCACCACAGACCACCTTGTCCGTATCGAGGTACAGATCAGAGACGCCTTCGTTCATAAACAATATTTTCTCTCTGTGTTCCTCGATATCGAAAAGGCTTATGTTACAACATGGCGTTTTAGAATTCTAAGAGACCTGTCCCACCTTGGTGTGCATAGAAGTATGTTTCACATAATCGAATGTTACCTGTCAAACCGGACATTTCGTGTCCGTGTGAACAGTGTTCTCTCCCAAACATTTGTCCAGGAAACAGGCGTGCCAAAGGTGGTGTACTTATTTGCACACTTTTTATTATCAAAATGAATTGCTTGCACTTGTCCATCCCCCGCAATATGTTCTATTGTACATATGTCGACGACGTTCAGCTTGGCTTCAAGTCATGCAACTTGGCAATGTGTGAGCGGCAGGTTCAGCTGGGTTTAAACAAGGTCTCCAAATGGGCAGATGAAAACGGATTTCGACTTAACCCACAAAGAGCACGTGTGTCTTGTTCTCTCGAAAGAGAGGCATGCACTCTGAACCTGACATTCGACTGAACGGGCAACGTCTGTCTGTCAAAGCCGAGCATAAATTTTCAGGCTTAATCTTGGACCACAAGCTGACCTTCGTACCGCACATCAAGTATTTAAAAACAAAATGTTTAAAAGCGATGAATGTTTTAAAAGTGTTGTCACGTACTACGTGGGGTACTGACAGGCAATGTCTCATGAATTTGTATAGGAGCCTCATTCGCACACGCTTAGATTATGGGGCTGTTGTTTATCAATCTGCGACTCAAAGTGCTTTGAAGATGCTGGACCCCGTGCACCATTTGGGCATCCGCCTTTTTACGGGTGCTTTTCGCACCAGCCCCGTAGAAAGCCTTTACGTTGAGTCAAATGAGTGGTCGCTTCATCTACAAAGAACTTACATGTCCTTTGTATATTTTCTTAAGGTGAAAGCAGACAAGAAGCACCCTTCCTACTCTACTATTAATGATTTGTCGAGCTCCATTCTGTTGCAAAACAGGCCTTCGATGAGGCAGCCCTTCTCAGTTCGCCTGAAGGGTCTAGCTGAGGACACTGGAGTGTCACTTGAACACAGTTTAATGGCTCCTGTAGCATACCCGCCACCGTGGCAGTGGCAGAATATAGATTGCGATGTGCCTTTCCTAGAAGTTACTAAACATGTACCTATTGCCCACATCCGAAAATACTTCCTGGAACTTCAACACAAATACACACGTCCTGAGCTCTTTACAGATGCATCTAAGTCCAACTCCTCTGTGTCCTACGCTGCTGTTGGCCCTTCCTTTTCGGATGCTGGCCCTCTACATCCAGGCACAAGTATCTTCATAGCGGAAGCTTACGCGATACTTGTGGCAGATAAACACATCAAACAATTACAAATACAAAAAGCAGTAATTTATACAGACTCCCTCAGTGTGGTAACGGCTCTGCACAGTCTTAAAAAACAAAAAAAACTTGTCCTCGTCTCCCTTTACTCCATTTTTTGCACACTCTACACACTCAACCAACATGTTGTAGTGTGCTGGGTGCCAGGACACCGTGAGATCCAAGGCAACGTGAGGGCGGATCAGCTCACTGCATCCGTCCACAAAAGCACTTCCCCTACACCCATATCAATCCCGGTCCTTGATCTTAAGCCGTCTCTCAAAAGAAACCTCAGAGACTCTTGGCAGAGCAAGTGGAATAAACACACACAAAACAATCTACACGTTATTAAGCCACACCTTGGCCATTGGCCACCAGTATCAAAATCACGTCTAACAGAGGTTACACTAACAAGACTCAGGATAGGACACACATACACGACACACACACACATCTTTTGTCCGGTGGTAATCCACCATTGTGTGATAAGTGTGGTGAGGCATTAAAAGTTCTTCACGTTTTAATCCAATGTAAACAGTTAGACACTCTAAGAAGACAACACTTTCCAATACCCTACCGACAAACCTTTACACCCTGCAATGTTCGTAGTAGGGAACCGCTTTTTAGTCATAAATCATTGTTAGCGTTTTTAAAAGAAATTCATAATTTTCATATCATATACCCGGGCGTTCCACAGCACAACCTCTCCAGAGAGGCTTTTGCTGCGGTGGCTACACAGGAAAGCACTTGCCTCACGGCCCTTGGACGCAAGGGTATGAACGAGTGAGGTACTTGTGCTAATGCCATACATGTCCACCATCGTTTTTCATTATCACCAACTTTTGTCACCTATTCACACCACGCACACCTTTCATAGCATAGTCATGATTTTATTACTTGTATGATTTTACCCGCCTTACTGCGAGGAATTTTATGGCCCTTATACAGCCGCTAATCACAATCATTGCCCACATTCCTTGTCCCATGAACTGGCGCTCTTTGACCATCAATTGGACCTTGCGCCAAAAAACACCATATATCATCATCATCGCCACAACCTCCTCCGCTGGCGGAGATATGGAGCTTTGAAACTGAGCTTATTCTAGTAACGTTCATTTACCTTCATGCCGAGCGCCGCCGCTGTTATGACCACTTTTTCGGTGTACTTCTGTTCAGTGAGAATATGCGTACTCTGGCTATCTTCACACTGGTAGCGTAGCTGATCTGTAAAAAAAATGTGAAAGCAGCAATGATGTTAGTGCCATGTAAAATTTCAAAAGTGTTAGTACACCACCAGAATTTTTTTTCTTCTCAAATCCATAATATTCATTCTGGCCCTGACTACTATTTCCATTTACTGAACAATCATGCAATTAAGATCTCCGAAAAGATGCAATTCACAGTGACGTATAACATCAAAGTCGAATGAGGGTCACACTGAAATTGAGCAGAGGCGCAGTTCTAATAAAGCATTCTTGAATTTGGACGTTGGACTAGAGGGCTACATGCGGGGAAATGGCAATGTTCGAGCAGTTCAGATATTACGCAAGAATCGCTTTTGTTAGATTGAGGTTTAACTTGATATACCAACCCACAATTTACCTGACACTTCTTCAAATGCTTTCAGAATTCCAGGAATACGGCACCGTTCTGCGTTCTCTGACTAATTGACTGTGCAAAAATTCTGAGTCTAACCTTATTAGGTCCACACACAAAAACGCGCCTGAAGCCATGGTAGCCGCCTGTAAGAACTTTGCTTAAGCAAAGTATGCATACGTTTTTAGTGGGAACCATATCTCAGGGCTCAACTCACGTTGCCAGAAACTTAGATGTTTAGACCATGGCTAGTGCTACCGTTTCGCATGTCTTCGTTCTCTGAATGTTTCTCCTTTCCCGACAAACCACTACATCTGTTGACAAGGCTAACATGTATTGAGCCCGTGGTTGGTGGCCTTCCAGCGAAGTTTTCTATTCTTGCAAAGCACATCTGTCTAAGCGCCTGAATATACGTAGTGTAGCATGAAAGTCATGCGTCGTGGCAGGCAACAAAATACTCTTTAGAAACCGTTTCAAAAAACAAGGCAGAAATGTGAGCTCGTTGGCTTTGGTGAGCTCAAGACTACAAAATACCGGCGTTCATCTTGTTTTCACAACTGCTCTTGTTCTCATGGTTGCGTGCGTTACCCCTCTCATCGTTATTTTGTATTTTAGTAACTTTAGTCAATGCGTAGCATTTCTAGTGTAGCGTACAAACGTGCAGCACTATAGACACATTGAGCCAATGAAAACAAACAAACTTGCAGACAACACAATCACTAGCTGTCTTGCGCGTGACTGCAGTTGGTTTTTGTTTCTAGGTTTGCGCTTCTGTTCAAAAGAACATGCGTACGAGCCTAGTGAGCTGGCACCAAAGAAAAAGAGATGATTTATTTGGAGGCAGAGAGGTCAGCCTGAGCTAGTTTGCTCTAGCATGGTACTCAACACTAGGGAAGGGGGACAGGGGCAACAAAAAAGAAGTGATAAAGTATGGCGACGTTCACAGAAGTAAAATAAGCGTATACGCAGCACAACGTGAATAACAGCATCAGAGCAGATGTACAAGCTACCTGGTGCAGATATTTGTAGCTTAGAGGGGTCCTGTAAAACTTTTCGAGCATAATCAGAAAACGCTGCTAATCCGTAGTAGAGGCTCCCGAGAACGCGTGAGCCAAATGTTATAGCGCAGTACGCGGCTTTGAATTCCCAATAGAATATCAAAGTCAACTAAAAATTGCTCCCTCTTCCCTCGACGAATGACGGAAGACGCTCGAAAATCACACGTAGAATGCCAATCCATCAGCCACTGGCTGATTTGAACATAGCAGGCTCGGTCATCACAGAGATCGCTGTGAGAGGCCATCACTTGTCCATGCGTGCACGTGCCATCGCCCTGAAACCGCGTATTTGAAGAAAAAAAAGTGCTCAAGGTCATCTGTAGCGTGAGACGTTTTCTCTTTGCCCCAGCCGTCTCTCCCTGCTTAGCTTCCAGTGCTTTAGTCGGGACGAGAATAGAGAGAATGCGATTGGAGCATGTGGCAAATTTTTGTAACTCCACTCGTACTGGGCGGATTCTAGAAATTTTGACGGCGTTCAGTTTGTGAGGCAATAAGCTTTTCCAGTGAGGTGATTCTATAGTTACTCAATAGAGTGTTTCAGGGCCCCTTTATTGTAAAGCGTTCCGTCATGAACAGTGCGAATCACCAAACCAAACACTACCATTAACAGTGGGCGCTTGCTCATATTGAAGCCCTACAGGCCAATATTATGAAATAGGAGGATATTTGTGAAAATAAAATATGCCAACATGTTACACTAGCTGTCAAATAATCATAGTTGTCCATCAAAGCAGCTTTAGAAAAGCTTTAAACGATGAGCTTCCAATGGCGGTGCTCAAGTGAAGGTGTGATTTTCGGTAGATTAATTGGAAATCATAAAATATTTTAGCTTCACACACCACAGGCGAAAAAAGAGGTACTGAATGCTCGAAGCATTACTCTCCGTAAATAATCCCCATGATTAACTGATAATGCAACGGCTAAATTTCACTAGGTGAGCACACTATGAGTATACGTTAGTCACATGGTGATCTGTTTGTTTTTTTGCTACGCGATATACATGCTTACCCAGTTATCATCTTAATTTTGCTGCTCTTTGAAATACTTTTTAGGGTATGCATCTGGCTTCGTACCTTTCTATGACCTGCACTGATTGTGATGATGATTTTGGGTTATGTGTGAAAAACTTTAGTTTCTAGTTTCTAGTTCTACTTTAGCTAAATATATGTTCTCGAGGCTAGGAAAGAAGGAACACTCGTACGTCTCCTGACGAGGCCTTCACCTCGACTCAAACGTTGGACAGCCAGGAGCAAAACCAAAGAAAATAAGAACAATGCTTCTGAATAATAGGTACAGAGGAACCAGAGAAATAAAGTGCAATGCTCATCGCAAAGCATATATGCACAGCTTTAGAGGGTCTAAAAAACGTTTCAGCTATAAACAATCGTGGTTGTTTAATCACCCTTATTCTGTTTTCATCCAAATCCAATAAAGTTCTTCTCAGATTAAAAAATAATCGGTGATTATGCTTTCAGCGCTTACCTCAATATTGTGCTCATCAGTGATTGTTAATGCTAGAGAAATAATTCATTGTTTATACATTCATTGTGAACAATTTTCACTTACTTGGACAATGTGTTCGCAAAGTTTTTCTGCATGGTAAGCCTAAATGAAGGAACGATTAAGGCCTTCATCAGCTGTCGTAGCCGCATCAAGGATACTAATAAACGTCTTTTCGCTTCAGTGGGTAATTTCTTACAAAAACTAGCCACAAGGCACCATGCTTGTAAAGTTCATAAATACATGGTTCCGCATATATTTTAGAAGTGTCAAAATGTCACTTCATGTTTTATGACACTAAACACTGAAGTTTGCCCGAGGAGACAGTGCTATTCAAAGAGATACTTGACTAAACAGGGAAACAAAAAAAGGTTAGCTTGTGTACTCACTTTCAGTGAGCGAAGGTTTTGCTAAAACGACGGCTGCCCCAGCCAAAATGCAGCCATAAATAGCTACCAGATTTTCCACTCCATTGTCCAGGTGGATGCAGATGCGGTGACCAGGAGCTACGCCGTTGTTCCGGAAACCAATAGCATATCGCTCCATGTGAGCCAGCGTTTCCTTCCGCGTGAGGCTGACAACATCACTGACCTGCAATTAGGTGCTACAATTATGCGTATGAAAATCATAGCGTACTTTCGAAAAAGAAAGGCAATGCAGGTTTATCCTAAAGGGGAGCTGAAGAAGTTTTAAGATTTGACAAAACTATGTCGTGAGTGAAAACCGACAATGTTGACGACGATGCGCTGATTTTTTTTTTGTTGCGTGGTGGTGGCAGTAGTGAATGCTGAATACGCGAAAAAATTTGTAGATCCCACATACAATGGGAATTGATGATATGCGAACCATGAATAAGGAAGGTTGATGTGTCGATTTGAAAATGATATGCGAACCATGAATAAGGAAGGTTGATGTGTCGATTTGAAATGAACACAACCTTACGAGGCAGACGGACGTAGTACATTGTACACTAGTAAAATGTGCGCACTAACGTATCTAGATAAGACACAAGTATGTTGTTTACAGTCGCACTAGGACAGTACCACTAGAATTTGAACTACGAGCAGAAGAAGTGGTAGGCATGTAAATTATGCCGTACATGATTTCATGATATGATACTCCTGTTTGCGCCAGTCTTTTGTCGCCCATTTACGTCACGTTATACCAAATTTTGAACATGTGAAGCTAGCAAAATGGCCACGAGCGCAATATGAGCGTAGCCAGTAGTCACGCTGTGCTTTACAAGCCTGTCATGATTATCATGTTTCGACGTGTCATTTACCTTCGTTGTCCGTTCGCGTCACGTAATACGAAATTTGGTATATGCGAAGCTAGCGAAACTGTTTCTAACCCATCATTAGCAAGGCATGTAGTCATGTTCTTACTTGACACGCTTTTCATAAGTATCATGTTTGCTCTAGTCATATACCTTCAATTTTTTATACTAAATTCGGTATATGTGAAAGTAGCGGAACGACCGCGAGCGCACCATGAGCATAGCGTGTAGCCACGGCTTACATTACATGCATGTCATGATTTTCAGTTAAGGCGTGTCACTTATGTTCACCATGCCGTGATGTCGTACCATACCAGTTTTGCAATATGTCATGTGAACGAAACCACAGCAAGAGAATGAAGATAATAACATGCAAATAATGATATTCATGAGATCACTGTCATGTTTTTAATATTGTGACTAGTCACTCGTGCTCGTCATAAAGTCTTGTTTTGCCATACGAATGCTGGTTTAGATACCATTGTCGAATCGGTCACGGGAGCTACACTCTAAAAAAAGAGCGAGTAAAAAGGGTGTCTTTTTGTCCCACAACAATATCGTCATCTATATTGCGTTCCATCTTTGCGCTATCGCCCCGCGCCCGGTACATTCCGGTCACAATCGACATGCTCATTATCAGGGTTACGTTGCATTCTCGGTAGGGAAGGGGCCAGCGCCGAGTTTTCAAGAAAGAAAGCGCACGCAAGCCTGACGATGATTCTTGTTGTGGGACAAGAAGACACCCTTTTTACTCAACATTTTTTAGAGTGTGAAAGCTATAAGCGGTTTGATTGATAGATTAGATAGATAGATAGGTAGATAGATAGATAGAGATAGATAGATAGATAGATAGATAGATAGATAGATAGATAGATAGATAGATAGATAGATAGATAGATAGATAGATAGATAGATAGATAGATAGACTCAAAGTCGCCGAAGTTCGCTGAAAATGCTTCGCATTAAAAAAATTGTTCTTCGCCCACGCGAGCCATCAAAACTATGGAAGTCGAAAACTACGTCACTTTCACTATCTTCATCGGAAGATACTTCTCGCTTACTCATTCTTACTGACTGAGATGGCGTTGTTTATGCGATGGCGGCTGATGCATAGTGAAGCTTGAAGTTTGGCGGCTTTGTTACGGTATGTGGAGTGACAGATGCTCAAGCATCTCACGTACTACCTTCAACCGTGGCCTCTATAACTCAGTCAAGATGTGCCATTGCCGGAGCAAATCGAGGAGGCCACTCTTCGGTAGAGCTTCTCTTGACAGTGTGGCATACGTGTGATGACATCGCCACGTTTACGCAGAATTTCAAGAAACCCTGCGTACATAGCCCTTATTTTTCCTGCCAAAAAAGCTGTTTGCATTTATTTTTGAAAACTCTAACATCGCTTCTCGAATGCAGCGGCGATCAACTGCCCTTACGCACTCTAGGATACATACCTACAAAAGTGCTTCAAGTTGCGTTTTATTCAAGGTCTTTCTAATTCAAAGCCTTGTATTTGCTCGATTTATCCACTGAATTGTTCGCAAGAGCTAGGCTAGTAACGTTATGCAATCACGCTATACTCGGCGGGCTAACATAGATATTATAACTTAATCCTCAACATCTAAATATCAGCAGTTGTAGGTTTACATCCAGTTCTCTAACCAGACGGTCAGGCCACAAACATCCATCAACCTTACGGCATCACTGTTTCTACACTAACTGTGTGTTTCATTTTTAGGGGCGATGCTCCTTTGTCCATTGGTCGTTCTCTCTTTCGTATGTAGCATATAGCAACCTCCAGTTTATGACTTTCTAAATAGATGGCTTTGTGCGTATATGTCTTTGGCAATTATATAACCAGACGCCGTTAGTGATTTTCACAGCATATCCACGGAGTGAATAATGATGCGTGGGGCGAAGTGTTCATCCGTCCATCTGCGTGTGCAACCGTCCACTCATCCATCCGTTCACCCTTCCGTGAATCTGTCCATGCTTCCGTCCGTCAGTCCGTGCGGCTGCGCTTCTGTCCTTCCGTATGTCTGTTCGTCCCTGCTTCCGCTCTTCTATCCGTCCTTGCGTCCATCCGTCTGTCTGTCCATCCGCACTTCCGTTCAATTATGCTTCCGTCTGTCCTTGCTTCTGTCCGTGATTCCATCCTTCTATCTATGCATCCGTGGATCCGTGCGTACGTCCATGCGTCCATCTATTCGTCCATTCGTTCTCTCGTGCTTCCGTTCACCCGTCCCTCCGTGCGTTCGTGGCTCTGTCTGTCTATTCATCTAGCCGTTTCTTCCCACAGCAACTTAGAGAGCTTGATAAATTTTTTCGCTGTATAAATGATGGAAATTATTAGAATATTTTAACTCTACTTGATTGCCGTATTCAAGTTCCTGAATTTCAATGCTTGATTTTTAATCTTTTGTACAATTTGAAGTGTTATTGAATATAATATATCCGTGCTTTACGCAGTTAATAGTTTTCCCGGTTTTAGTGACATTACTTTCAATAGTTTTGGAAGGGTACACTATGTATCATTTCAGCATGCCAAATATTTTCCCTAAACCTCTATTCCAAAAACCAGCGTCCCTAGCGTGATACTAGTATGTGTTTTGGCGCTGGCACACGCTGGCATTGTCACTTCAGAGGGTGCACTGGAAAATAGCTGGTCGCACTGTAGGGGTGGTGCCTTGAAAACAGTGACGCTGGAGCACTGGAAACGCTGAAGACGCTGGAATTTTCTCTGGTATGCGCTGGTGCGTCATGATGATATGATGATGATATATGGTGTTTTTGGCGCAAGGGCCATTTGATGGCCAAAGAGCGCCAGTTCATGGTACAAGGAATGTGGACAATGATTGTCATTAGCGGCTGTATAAGGGCCATACAATTTCTCGCAGTAAGGCGGGTAAAAACATACAAGTAATAAAATCATGACCATGGCTTGAAAGGTGTGTGTGGTGTGAATAGGTGACAAAAGTTGGTGATAATGAAAAGCGATGGTGGACATGTATGGCATTAGCACAAGTACCTCACTCGTTCATACCCTTGCGTCCAAGGGCCGTGAGGCAAGTGTTTTCCTGTGTAGCCACCGCAGCAAAAACCTCTCTGGAGAGGTCGTGCTACGGAATGCCCGGGTATGATATGAAAATTATGAATTTCTTTAAAAAACGCTAACAATGATTTATGACTAAAAAGCGGTTCCCTACCAACGAACATTCCAGGGTGTAAAGGTATATGTTGTCGGTAGGGTAATGGAAAATGCTGTTTTCTTAGAGTTTCTAAGTGTTTGCACTGAATTAACATGTGAAGGACTGTTAATGCTTCACCACATTTGTCACACAATGGTGTATCGCCACCGGACAAAAGATATGTGTGTGTCGTGTATGTGTGTCCTAACCTGAGTCTCGTTAGTATTACCTCTATATGACACGATTTTGATACTGGCAGCCAATGACCAAGGTGTGGCTTAATAATGTGTAGTTTGTTTTGTGTGTGTGTATCCCACTTGCTTTGCCAGTAGTCCCTGAGGTTTCGTTTGAGAGATGGCTTAAGATCAAGGGCCGGGATTAATATGGGTGTAGAGGCAGTGCTTTTGTGGACGGATGCAGCGAGCTTATCCGCCCTCACGTTGCCTTGAATCTCAGGGTGCCCTGGCACCTAGCACACTACAACATGTTGTTTGAGTGTGTAGAGTGTGCACAAAATGGAGTAAAGTGAGACAAGGACCGGGTTTTTTTTGTTTTTTAAGACTGTGCAGAGCCGTTACTACACTGAGGGAGTCTGTATAAATTACTGCTTTTTGTATTTGTAATTGTTTGATGTGTTTAGCTGCCACAAGTATTGCGTAAGCTTCCGCTGTGAAGATACTTGTGCCTGGATGTAGAGTGCCAGCATCCGAAAAGAATGGGCCGACAGCAGCGTAGGACACAGAGGAGTTAGACTTGGAGGCATCTGTAAAGAACTCAGGACGTGTGTATTTGTGTTGAAGTTCCAGAAAGTATGTTCGGATATGGGCAATAGGTGCATGTTATATAACTTCTCGGAAAGACACATCGCAGTCTATAGTCTGCCACTGCCATGGTGGCGGGTATGCTACAGGAGCCATTAAACTGTGTTAAAGTGACACTCCAGCTTCTTAAGCTAGACCCTTCAGGCAAATTGAGAAAGGCTGTCTCATCGAAGGCCTGTTTTGAAACAGAATGGAGCTCGACAGATCATTATTAGTAGAGTATGAGGGGTGCTTTTTGTCTGCTTTCACCTTAAGAAAATATACAAAGGACATATAAGTTGTCTGTAGATGAAGCGACCATTCATTTGACTC